ACATGCGTGCAGTCAATCGCACCAATGACCAGTGGAAATCTGGCAACTCTATAAAAATTTTCTTTCGCTTTTTGTCTGGTGGCAATATTTTCTGGAAATCTTATATTCTTCGGACGCAACCGAGCAATAGCCTCTGAAACTTGTCTCACAATTGAACAGGCAGATGTTTTGCTTACTCCTGCAAAATTTCCAACTGATATGAGCATATTTCCAGTGGTATAAAATCTTAGTGAGTAATAATTTAGTTGCTGGTGAAATAGCTCGATTCCGTTCTGTCTGAGATTTGAGATCATTCACAATCAAATGCAACAGGGTCTCACAGGTTTGCTTTTGCATTCGAAACCGAGTAAAAAACTGCAGATCGGTGTATTCTATAAAGTAATTGGGTCTGAAACAAATACAATTTTTATCAATATTAACCAATAGATATAGTCCTAGTATTCACTTACCGATTTTTAAAAACTTTAGGTTTCCGAGCTGTTACTGTCAACATGTTATCAAACATATCGTCTTCTTCATCAGAATCAAATACAGACATATTTCTTCCCGCCATCGTAGTAAATCAAAATTTCTTAAATCGCGTGACAAAGTTGTTTACATATGGAGAAATTGTAGGTTATGAAACCAGACCACGAAATAAGACGCTGTCACTCATTGACCAATAGAACGAAGGAACAACTTTATCTGCAGTATATCCGGTTCATTTCACTGGTATAAGTTATACCGCCATTTATACCGAATAGAACGTTATTCGACTATTGTAGAACCAAATTTTACAAAGATATACCAAGAAGAGCTTGTTCCTGGTATATACCGCAATTGTAGATTTAGCCCTAAGGAAGCGCGCACCTTTTTCTGCCATATGTTAGGATAGAGTGTGCCCTAGTTAAGAGGAATCGCATACGGGTCCGCTCTTTTACTTTTGTTCTATGCACTTGTCTCAATGCTTTTTCGAGTCGACTACTACATTCTTACGTACGAAAAAAAAAACTGGAAAGGACAAGGGCGGCAATAAGAAAAACATTCAACGCGCACCGGAGAAGATAAGAAAGAATTGTATATCTACATAAAGAGCGTCCTTTTTGAATCAAATGCCTCAAACACTCCGTGATCATTTTAAGGGAAGACGGGATTTCAAGAGCCGTTCGTGCAGTTGAAGGTCGGCCATGCTTTTCAAACAAGAGATAAACTTAATTCTCGGATTAATAATGTTAGAAACATGGGGCTTTGGATTGGATCGACAAGAAGTCATGTAGCTAGTTGGAGAATGTATTACTTCAGTAGGTATACAGAAATAATTTCAAATCACAATTTTAGTATTCTATGAGTGGATTAGTCCCCAACTGTAAGAAACGGTCCCTGAAAGCGTGCAAAACAGCCCCTGAAAGTGGCAGCTCTTCATAGAATGTCCCAGGTAGCAGACTGTCGTCATTTTGGCGTCAATTTTTGGGCAACAAATGACCGACTGACGTTAAGTTGCAGTCATTATAACGCCACAATGTCACAGTTAAAATGACGTCAATTAAAATGGTATATTCATACTGTATTAGGCCCCAGTGCACAACTACCACTATGTCCTCGCCAGGAGGCCACATTTATAAAACTGCCATTAAACCAAAAGAAACGGAAATTGTGGTTGAAAGCAGCTCGGGGGAACAACACAGATGTTTCTGCAGATAGTCACATTTATATTTGTGAGGATCATTTTGACGTAAGTTTAGATAAAAACAATACGCGCTGAACGCGTCAAGAAACGTTTAAATTTATACAGGGCGGTTTTTTAGTGCGAGACAGTTCATTATTTCCGATGGTGCTGAACTTTCGAAAAATAGTTTCATATAAAAGTTGTAGACGCACAAAGTGCCCAAATTTTAAAAATTACTTATATGATACAGAGTGGTTCAGAAAAGCGAGGCAAGATCAAAGTGTATTTTTTTAAATAGAACTACCCATTTTTCATTAGCTCGTAGAATGCAGCTTGAAACGCTGCATATCCATCCGTAAATTGTTTTTTACTTATTTGCGAGGTTGGCAGATTATCGCCATTTTAGTAAAATTTTGCTGAAAAACATGGTATCTAAAAATTCATTGTAGAAGCAAAAACAAGCAGTTAGAGATACAAAAAAATACGCCTTTCCAATCACCACAGATCCGTTAAGAATTATATTGAACCAAAATATCACAACAATGTGGACTTCAATCTAAAACTTTTTAACGCACTAGAACTTTTGTTTTTCAAATCGAAGTACCTGTATATTAATACGTTATTAGATAGACAATATACAAAGTTACAAATTTGCATTTACACTTTAAGCTGCGAAATCAACCGTTTTCAAATTATAAATTATAAAAATTATTTTAAAATATGCAGCGTTTCAAGCTGCATTCGATGAGCTAATGAAAAATGGGTAGTTTTATTAAAAAAAAAAACACTTTGATCTTGCCTCGCTTTTCTGAGACACTCTGTATCATATAAGATATTTTTAAAATGTGCCCACTTTGTGCGTCAACAACTTTTATATAAAACTATTTTTCGAAGGTTCAACACCATCGGAAATAATGGACTCTATCGCACTAAAAAATGACCCTGTATGTCACCTTTGTATTGTTATTTGCAATGTTTGTTTAATTTTAAGAGTAACTTTCTAAGATTAACCCCTTCCATTAATTAGAGGGATGTTAAAGGCTTGTAGACGCCATAATCGATTGCTTAGAAATTGCAATCCAGAAGCCGGAAGATCCAGTCAATCAAGCGCTATTTAGCAATTCAATCAAACAAGCTTTATTATTTTACATTTCATCTGTAATTGAATTTATGTCTTAAATACGCTTAGCATGCTCATATGCAATATGCAACTGTACATTCTGTTTATCGGTGCTGCTTATGGCCATATAACTAGCGTAGGAATTTTATCCGACGTACCGTGTGACGTCACAGCCAGTTAAATCGCGTTCTGTCTTGACGTAATTTTTAAAGCGAAGATGATAACTTTCGATCCCTTTTTCTGACACATTTTTTTTTAAATTTGTTTCTGTTGAATAACTCGCACGCAAATGTTTGAAGAAGTTTCAACCAAAAAATTTTTTTGTGCAGAGGACATATTAAGGATTATTTTATGTTTCAATTTGTCACTTTGAAGGCCCATAATTCCATAAGGAATCCAGATCGGATTTTTTTATATGAAGTTCTGGCCTTATTTTCACGTCTTCTGTACGCCCTATAGTTGTTGACCAACAATTTCGGGACACCCTGTATAGAAATATTTATCTTCGATTTGTTTTAGCTAAGAAAACTGTTCGTATTACTGTCCCATATATATGAAAACAAGAAATAATAGAAAGCTTAATTCAATTAATTCAACTAATTTACACAAAACCACATTTATTGCCAAATTAAAACGTCATCAATGACGTCACATGTACGTTATTTTCCGGTCAAAATTGTAAGATGACTGAAAGTCGAGTATGACCAAAAGATGACGTCATGTTGGCGTCAGTGAACGTCAGCTTGCTACCTGGGAAGGGAATTATAACCGGAAAAGTGACTAAAATTTACGAACATCAAATAGTAAAATTAAAAATAATTGAAGACAGTGAATCGGAACATAGGAAGGAGGAAAATGAAAAAGCCAAAAACAAAGACTGAACTAGGCATTGAGAAATGGGTCCTAGTGAAATACTGTGAAAAGTTTTTCAAGCACTACAATGAAAAAATAAAAGAAAGATAATAACAAATGTCCAATTTATTAGAGAGGATCGGCGACGGTTTCAATTCATATAGCTCAAAAAGATTGATGAGGATGCAGTTGAGCCAGACGCCAGCCACTATCAGGACCTTACTGAGTCCCATGTCCATTAAAACATGAACTTTTTCCATATTCAAAATGATATTTACGGGATTACCAATTTATGTTGAAGTACTCACTTATTATGTACCTATATGAAATATAATTTAGGCAATGTTAGTTTTTAATTTTTATTATAAGACATCGGCTTTGTTTAATTTGATGAGGAACGAATCTCTTCGTTTTTTCTAATTCTTGAAAGTTTACACCTCCAATACTTTTATAGAAAAAAATCGAGTAGTTACATTAAAAGCATTTTGTCTTTACGCGATTTTCTCCAACAAACATGAAGTCCATGGTAGTGTAATGGTAAAAATAAAAAAAATGCTTTCTTTACATTTGTATTTTGTGGCCTTCTATAAGCGGAAATATTCAACTGTTGTATATTTCAAAGTATATAGTTGGAATATTTTGGGGAGAAATGCATCCAGATGGACTAGCTGACCGAGTACATAGAAAAGCATCAGTCGGGTCATGAGTGTCATGACTAACCTGAAAGCTTTTTGTAAATGAGGAGTTCGGAAGTAAAAGTGAACTTAAAAATGTGTTAAATTAATAAAAGCCAAACCTAAAAGGAATTATTATTTGGTAGTAAGAAAATCTTAATTCATTTCACGACTGTATCGCCATATATTGATATAATTTTAATTATGTAAAATAATGTTTACACATTTAAACTTTTAAACTGAAACACTTAATTCCTTTTATTGCTGACCCCAGGTCTGGGTAACACTGTGTTGTGTGGCGCTTTTATGTTGATGCAGCTCTGTGCGTGAATGCAATTTAACACCATACCGTATAAGCCCATTACGCATGACTATAAGACTCGACTACACATTACGTATCACAGAGTCCTCAGTGATCTTTCGTCGCATTTATCGTATTATGAGTTTACTGCACCATAAATTGCGCTGACGTCTTGTATTGACGCGACAAGCCGTATCGGCATCGCTGCGCCAACACCTGAGAGTTCACTGTGTTACCCAGGCCTAGCTGACCCCTTCAATTAAAGTTTTTATTGACTCGGAGCCATTCATCATCGTCTTAGCCCATATCCTTTTTTAGTGTAGGTATGTCGATTATTAAACTTGTTTATATCACCAATTGTGCCCGCCCATATTAAAGCGATATTTCTGGTTATAATAATTAAATAAAAATTAACATGAGGATATTTAGAATCACTTGCGCGGTTAGCCAAAGTCAAGCAGCTAATACCAGGCTATAAAGAGAGCCGATTTTGAATATTTCAAACAACTGAATGTTATTTTGTTTTGCAATGTATAAGCTCGGTGAAACATACCAGCTCATAATCCTGAAAGTACGGTCTCAAAATAAGTTTCTTCATATTAACCAATGAAGCAATTTTTGTTATTAGCACATTTAACCGCCGTTCTTCACTGATACTTAATCTATTAGTATGAAGAGGATCTTCCCACTCAAGTCCAGTAATTATTGAACTATTTTCGCTAAACTTGGGTACTGAAATATTAATAATCTTATACCTACTAGCTGAAGTTTTACATGCATTCAACATTTACCGCTATCGTTAATGACATCACACAGTTGAGTATAGTAAATTCTTCCATCTGGAACTCGAAAGTAATCTGCTAGTTCGGCGACTTCTTGTTCAGATAGTCCAATTGTTCCTCCAAGTTGTCCATGGATTACAGAAATAAACTGAGACTCTAGAATGAACAGTTAGAAATTAAGGATGTTTCACGAGTTTTTACAGATTTGATCTGTATACACCTAGCAATTGCTCAAGATAACAAAGGAATGTGCGAACAACAAAATTTAGTTCAAAATAGTGATTGGTTCATATTAAAACCATCCAAATAATTAGTTAGGACATTTATAATTAGTCCGGAAGAATCAGAGAACTCAAAACTTTTTTCATATAACTGGCTAAAATCAATACTTCAATTCTCAATTTCTTCTCCATGAAAGTTTTGCTATTAAATCTCACATATTTTTATAGAAAAACTTTGTGGGATAACGAATCTTAGGTAATAAGATGATTAAATATTTCACGCCATACGCTGCGAAAGAGTTAAATACTAAACTAATGCAATCCACAAATTATAGCGTACATACAGATAAAGTTGTCTGATAGGGGGTTCGGTTTCTTCATCTCAATACATCTCAAGATCAGTCCGGTCCGATGCAAACGTTTTTTGTTTGTATGGCTTCCAAATTTCTAAGAATTTTAATGACCTCGATATGAGGTTTCCCTCGCGGTCTCTTATGATATTGGGTGATTAATTCAGTTTGCTTTTGTTCATGATGTTTTACTTTTTTGTGCAAGTTGTATCTGTCGTACTTATTATCTTGTTGCTCTATTTTCCTGTTTTCGTTGGAAAAGCACTTTTCCTTGGCCTTTCAAACTTTTGTTTTTATGACTTTGCGGATCTGTTTTTTAGTATTTTTCTGTATTTTTATTCTCGAATTTTTACCGTTTTTTCATCATATCCATTATCTATTTGTCTGTTTGTTGCATCTTAGAAGAGTCGCGCTTGTTGTTTGTATAGCCTCCCTTTTTTCTTCCATCTGTGTGTTGCGTCCTTAGTGACCTCGTTAATGTCTTTCATTTTCTCTTAGTTGGCCACTCACTATTACCTCGGTTTCTACAGTGACAATTTTCTTTATGTATATTGTGCTTGTGCACGATTTTCCTGTTTTTACCTCACCACCATTCAAAACACCACTAGACTTCGTACGGTTGTCGAATTCGTAGGGCCCGTTGGCACCAGGATATGTTTTTAATTCTTTCAACATGTTTTTAAGTCTTGTTTATACTGCTATGTAATGAATTTAGTTTCTTATTATGTTCTCCGCTGAGTACAGTATAGTGATACTTAATAACTTAGTTTGCAGTTGAAATGTTTGGCAAGCAAAAAGGAATTGTTTGGTTTCTCTTGTGAGTCGTAGGGATTCTATAGTCGTTCAGTTGTGGGGGCTGCTTTGCCATTTTTTTCGTAACTGCATCAGTCTTTATCAAACTTGTTCGTTCGTATAGTAAGTGAAATCAAGAATTGTATAGTGGGTTTAGGGGGTGTCTTATGTCTTAGGTGTGATTCTTTTCTTTTTTCCTCTATGATTTTTCTGGCTTAGAATTGATCTTTTGGGGAATTGGACACTTATCGAATAGAAAGGAGTGCTGTTGATGCGTATTTACAGATTTCTGTTCCCAACAATGCATATTCGGTAGTTTGTTGCGTAAATATTGTGTAGTTTGTAGTAGTAGTTACCATATCCGATTTCGCAAGTTGTTTGCATGCTATCTGTGTAACTAGAGAACGTAATGTACATCGTAAGTGTAATGAGATATTTCCTTATCTAGTTGGCGAAATAAGATATCATAACTCATGATAGTGTTTAATGTTTTGTCAGCATAATCTTCCGCTGTATTTTCTGGTACGCAAAAGTCGTATTGTGTTTCTGTTTAAGTCATTAAAGGGTTTTTTTAAATTTATAATTCGTTGCTTTGTGTAAAAGATATGTGAAGCTTGCTATTGTGTTATGTCAGTCTCTACTTAGAAAGAAGTAACGGATCTTGCAGAAGACGGTTGCTATTGCAGTCTACTTGAATACATTAATGTATTGGTATATTATTTTATGAAGGTTTTTAGCGTCCGAAAAATCAAATAAAAGGGATTTTTTCGACTTAATCATCATCATCATAATTATCTCGAGCTACCATCCACTGTTGAACAAAAGCTATTCTCAAATTTTGCCACTCTTTTCGATCTTGTGCAGATTTTATCTAGTTTCCTGCATTCCGTTTCATGCTGTCTGTCCAGCGTGTGGGTGGTCTACCTCTACTTCTAAAGGCTTCGAATCTTAGTCGCCATTCTATAACCTTTTTCGACCATCTACCTTTTTTATTCTGGCCACGTGACCCGCCCAGTTCCCTTTCAGATGTAGAATAGTCTCGACGACGTCTGGTACTCCTGTTTTGTTTCGTATGGTTCGATTTAGGATTTTGCGGATTAAGCTTACAAATAATTTTCGGAATAATGAAAAATTTACTGCTACGAGATCTTGCCTGCAAGTTGATGGTAGTTAATGTACCAGGACAGCAAGAATGCCTAGTTAACTACCCCCAAATAATTTAAAAATGTGGTTTATTTAAAACTCCATAACCAAAAGACACTAAAACTATACACGAACTACTGACCCCTTGTTTGGTAGAATCTACAATAAATAGGATTCCAAAACTCCAAAAATGTGTAGTTAAGGGTTTTAATAACGCATAAAAGTCTTCTACCTATATCAATAATTAATGGATTTAAAATATGCTCACTGCTCATTTTGTGCATAAATGCATAGAAATATCTACAGATACCTCTCAAACAATTCAAAGCAAAATTCTGAAAACGGTTTTTTGAATAGCCGCAAATGTAAGGGGAGATACCTACTTCGTTTTCAATAATATATTTAAACTTGTCAGTAAATGTAAAAGCACTTCATGCTACTTACCCGATATCAGACAATTTTTATGCGGGTCCAAAAGCTTGAAGTATTCAGAAAGATTGATTCCAATTCGGAATATTGCCGCTCTGATTTTGTTACATGTCCTCCACACATCGCCCAATTTCAGTTGCTTCAATAATGAAAAAGTTATGTATATCGACATTCAATTTGTATAACTGTTTGAAACTCACCTTGCAATGCATTATGAAAATTTGCTGAAAAGCCCCTAATTGAAACGCAAAAAAATATTTTGAAGTAATTGACAGATACTATAGTACCCGCTGAAAATCTGGTACCTTAATTACAATAGCATTCAAATAGGTGAGTAAATAAAAATAACCCTAAAGGTAACGATGAAATCGTGTGGGATAGAACAGGTGATATTTCTGAGAAACACTCGATTATCCAAAGACCCGATGAGCCGAGATTCCGATCCGAAAGACGGCTCTTTTGAACCGACAGAACATTAGTTCGATCCAAAGTTCCTAGGTTCCTAGAGTATGCTTTAGGAACCTTAGGTCCTAAAAATTTATATATGGCTGTAGCGCCCTTTACGTGTAAGAGTGAAACTAAGTTTAAAATTAAGTTTCTCATGATATAAAATCCCCAAGTACCAAGCTTTGTCCAAATGTCGATAGTATTACAAACATTATTTGAGAAGTAACTTTTCAAAACGCATTATGTCAATCAAACGTTTTTTTACAAGAAACAAAAACTAATATTTTTTGTTCTCGTTCAATTTAAACCTGCATAGCAAGGTGTAAACATAGATATTGGTCGATACTTCTAATAATAATTCTCAATAAAATCAAAACTATAATAGATTGTAAAAAAAAGTCAATAAATAGTTGGATATAATGCGTTTTGATCCATCATTGTTGAATATAATGCGTTATGTTTTGGCATGGCGCAACATTTACGGCATGGTTAAAAATGTTCCATATGATAACGGAGTATTATGTACCCAGTCGACCCCAAATCTTGTTTGGAGCAATTTTTTAACATCATTTCATTTTTTTTATTTTGAATCACCCTGTATATGTACATATTGTGTATATGTGCAGATGAATATACTAGGTATGTACATATTGTGTAAATGTGCAGGTGAATATACCTAGTATGTTCAAAAGAAATATTCCGGTAATATACATGAATGTAAATCCACGGCATATTCCAAATTGGTTGAATATAAATTTTGCGTGCCCCCAGCGGGCACGTACAAGTAAATTATTTTTTATTTCTAGCTTGAGTAAGTCACCATTATTTAATCCTTTTTCTTATTGAGAATTCACATTTCTCTGTCTAGGTCAATATTAATGATAGAAAAATACTTAGATAAATAATGAAAAATGTTTTAGTTTTTCAGTATGTTAATTTTGCCGGTCTCTCTAAGTTTAGCTACTTCGGTACAGAAGCCTATTAAATACCTCGCTCGCTATATATACAGGGTGATTCAAAATTGGAGTCATTCCTCTGGAGGTGTTGTCTGGCGCTGTTATAGGAGTACAGAAAAAATTGTAAAAGAAATTAATTGTTATTAAAAACTGAGAAATTTGCAAAAAGCTATATCAGAAAAACGGCAGAAATGTTTTTCAAGGTAATCTGCCTAATTAACATTGCGCAGATACCTGTGGCTTCGTAATTATTACGTATCGTATAAGTCCGGTAACCATGGAATTATACAGACTGACAATAAGATAGACAAAGATAAACGGCAAATTCAGCAAGATTTGTTGACGAATATTGGTGTTTACAAATAATCCAGGCAACACCAAATATTTGAATGGTTAACTCCAAACAAGCTAGTGCCTGTGTAATCTCCTTATTATCCACTCTTATCAAGCAGCTTCTCGTATTTAGTGAATTAACTCCTGCTCCATTTGTATCTCCATGTGCTGTGTGTATCGTACACACGTGTGGTAGGAATCTAGCCCTTCCTCGGTATTTATTTGGTGATTGGAAAAGTGTCAGTTAGTGTGCTCTGAGTGCCCCTGGAAGGCCCTGATCGGTTATGTCCAATACGTGTGGCTGGAG